TTCTGGGGTTTAAGTTGTATTTATTGAAAACTCAATATTCCAAAACAAACATCCTTTTTACAAGACATTAAAAGCCAAATTAACTATTAAGTTGATGGTATGCAAAGTTAGGTTAAACAGAAAAATACCTCTGTCATTAAGCGTTTTAGTCCTTCAACTTCATCTTCTCCTGGGTTAAGTTCACCACCAGGTCTGTATAAAAGTTAAGAATTTCAGCTTTCAACTTAATGCAATTTGGAGATAACAAAGAACACAATAAATGTTATGTCTATCAAGTCACTAAGTAACATATTTCAGTGTAATAAGGCAATCAAAACAAGTATCAAAGTGAAGGGGGAGAATATGCTTGAATTCATGTCAATTCCCCAGACTAACAGTATACAAACCCTAGGTTTTCTTCCTCTTTGCATATATTTTTTATTTTATTGTCGATTCAAGGGGTACATGTACAAGTTTATTACATAGGTATATTGTGTAATGCTAAGGTTTAGGCTTCTAGTGAACCCATCACCAAAACAGTGAACATAACATCTAACAAGAAGCATTTCAACCCTCGCCTCTCCCTCCCCCTCCCCACCTTTGGAGTATACAGTGTTCATTTTTTCCAACTTTATGCCCATATGTACCCATCACATAAACCCTAGTTTTAAACCAACAGAATACATAACATAGCACAAACATAAACAAAATTGCTAACCACCAGTCCATCCCAATCTCGTCTCTGGAAGCTATCTGATGATAATGGAGTCTAGAAATGCCCAGAGAGGAATGGATCATATTCTTTAGGCCTAAACAATGGGACACTTTTTCAAGAGCGCCATCTAAGTATTGGAGACCTTTCTTTTTGGTATAATCTAGTCAAATAGTTGTGGATCAAATGTTTGAGAGATGCAGGAGCTTAAATGACAAAAAAATAAACTGTTATCCACAAAAACCTAAGTCATCTTAAGAATAGGAAACGCAAATCATACCAAGAAAGAAATACCAATTGTTCTTGGTGATGCTACAATGACATCTAGACATTGATCTTGAACTCAACTATTCCACAGGGTTTCTACCAAGCTCAATCACTAACATCGACAACATATAGAAACCGCAGATTACTAGTTAGGAAAATAAATGAGCACCGCAATGGAGAAAAATTACTCGTGATTTTCTCTTTCTAAAGACATCATTAACAGCAGTGTTTGTTGAAATAAATGACCAAGGGCTAAAGTTGTAGTCCACAGCTGCATAAACAGCAATCCTACTAAAAACTGTCTTGCTGTTAATTTCCAACACTACTTACAGTTTGAAGAAAGTTGTTCCCAGCTGTAGCAGTAACACATGGGGTAGCCGGTGCTCATGTACAATCAGAACCCCTTCTACAGTCCTCCTCATTCCAATTTTATCAAATTCTTCCCTCATGCGCTGAAATCTGGCTGCCACAGAGCTGTCCTTCTCATAGAGGGGCTCTTTTGTACCAAAAGTATAATTGGTAAGAGGGTACCTGTGATCCAAAGACAAACATCTAACATGAGAACTGAAGAATATAATTTACCATGACAGACATTAGCATAAAGAAACCACAGTACAAAAAAAAAGTGCATATGTTGTACTCAGAGACACAGGATTTGTACAGTTACATAACTAAAGTTAATGAGACAGTAGAGATTGGAATCTTGTTCTCTGGACTCTTAAAGCCAGAGCTTCCATGAGATCAAGCTGCTCCTCCATACTTTAACTTTCAAGTGTAGATAACACTATCCTTAAATGCTTAGAGAAATGGTTATCTGAACATTAGTAATCCTCTGGTTTTAGACCATGGCTGCTATTCCAACAAGACCAATTTGGCTAATAATTAATGTCCCCCTGCATTCCTCTGACTACTAATCTAATCAGAAAGTTTTAATTATGGGTGCTAATGGCTAATCTCTTTTTTCTAAAACTAAGCCACCACTTTTCATCAACATCCCTCCAGTTATTTTCTATTTCTCTCAGTCAACTATCCTCAGATTTTTCTTGCACCACAGCCTTTCCTTTTCACAGCAACTCTTCTACTTTCTCTTTTTGTCCTCTAACCCTATTTACTAGCCTTGGGCATTTATTCTATTCAGTCTCCTTACTGTTTCCTTCTCCTCATCTGAATCTTCTACCCACCCCTTTACCAAGAATTTAAAATATGGCTCAAACTGTTAAAGACAGTTTTCATCTTGCCTAATAAGGATCAAATTTTTCTTTAAAGATACTTAAAAATTCCATACTTATATGTCGTACGCCCTTAATTAAAGCCTTACAGCAAGAAGCCTTTGAGTAAGAATTTAGGCCACATTTGCCCACCTATAGTATCTATTCTACCAAAACTCCTTGACATTAATAGTCAACATTATTGCATCTACTACACTCAGCCATTCTTGAAAGGGGAAAAAATCAAGGTTGCCAAAACTTTAAAAATTACTTTAATTCCAGAAGCCAAGTTCTAGACATATGAAAAAGCTATAAAATAATTAAAATATACCATTTCAAGGATGCTTTAAAGATTTAAAGAACGTCCCCAGTAGACCCAAGGCTAAATCTAACACCATCATCCATAGCAGCAGCAGATATGCTACACAGCACGATGTGCCAGGCAATTTTTTCAAACGCTTTACATATATTAACATTTAATTCTCACAACCTGAGTTAGAAAGAATTAAGGATAGCCATTACACATCTCTGTTGCAAGAGCCAGCTCCAATTTATCAGTAAAGAGATGTCAAGATGAAATGTCAGAATTTTCACCTGTGAAATCAGAGTGCCAGCCCAGACATACATATTGTTCTCATCATACTGTGAGCTTCATAAAGCAGGGGCTACACCTTACTTCCTCACCACTGTATATCCAGTATTGTGCACAGTGCCTGGCACAAAGTAGGCATTCATGCAATATTTCCTGAAAGAAAATATACTGGGGACAGCGCATTTGTTTTCAACTTAATATTAACTCAGGTGAACTTAAGTTCACAACACAATGATTATTTCTGAATATTTATATTTATATAGGAGAAGAAATGTACTGTAAATCAACCCATAATTTTAATAGAGCGAAGATTAAAATCTTGCTGAAGGCCAACTATTTTGCCAAGTTAATTCTACATAATGGCTTGATGCAAATTAATTCAGTAATCAAGACAAAACAAGAAAAGACTGTGGGTTTTAGCTCTAATCACCACTGAAAGTAACCCAGAAGCTGTGCTTTCATACTTTTAAAAAGGATAACATTTGCCTTTACCATTTGATGGATTTTTTTCTTAATTTTTAAAAACATTTTTGTAGAGACAGCCTATGTTGCCCAGACTTGTCTACAACTCCCGGCCTCAAGTGATCCTCCCACCTCGGCCTCCCAAGGTGCTGGGATTACAGTCTTGAGCCGCCACTCCTGAGGACTTTTATACACACAACGATCGACTAATTCCAGATTTTATAAACCCAGCATTTCCATCATCTAAATTTCCAAGCCAACACATTTTACAAAATAAAACAATGTTAACCATCTTTTCAACTTCAAATCACTTTTGGTTGGGGGACGGAGAGAGAAAGTCCATTTATTTTAATATAAAACAAGAGAAACACCTAAACTGCCTTACGAAAACATCAATACCACCAAATCCTTGCACTTGTACACAGACTGGCATAAACTGGCCACTTTCCTCCATCAGGAAAATAGAGGCACCACGTTGCCTCGAAAACAAATCCTCAGACACGATTTTAAAAAGCATTACTGACAATTTCTTCAGACACCTCAAACGTCAATTACCTGCTACAGCGAGTCTGCTGCTGAGAGTGACCTTGAAATGCAATGGTTTCAAGTGTTGAAACGGAAAGGTGTTGAAAATAAAACACAGCCCACAATGGGTTTTCTGGTACAAACATTCTGGTTCCCTCCAGTCTGAAAGCCCAACCATAGCAGCATCCTTACTCCCAAGGAGGGGCCTACTTGGGGTGCCTGGGATGCTGGCGTTGAGACATCATCAGACGACGCGAAGGCATAAGGCATGGGGCAGGGCAGACAGCCCTGAGCACATGAATAACATGTGTTGTATTCATAAACCGAAATATTTAAGTAGCAATTAAAAGGAAAAAAACTAGACCTAGGCATTACAGCTGGATCTCGAAAGCTTACTGTCAGAGTGAAATGTGCAAAAATGATACTAGGTTATACCATTCGTATCACATCAACGATCACAAAGCAATACCATATACGTGATGCCAAAGCATAAACATTTCACTGGAAGGATAAAACACACACACACACACACACACACATTTTGAAGTTGGTTACTTCTGGAGAGGTGGGGAAAGGATGAGTTAAAAGCAAACTCCGTTTTTCCCCATTATGACCGAATACATAGGATGGGAACAAGCCTTCCTTTACAGAAAAGGACTCTTAACTCCCGGAGGCAGGAGGAGGAGAAAGGGGCCTGAGGGAGCGAGGAAGGCGCGCATCCGCCAGCGGGAGTTGGAGGCTGGGAGGTGCGGAGGCGTGAAGCACGCCGAAAAGCCAGGGACGCGCGGGAGAGTCTGTAGGAGCGCTCACGAAAGAAATGCCCGCCAAGGCCGCCCCGCACTTACAGATTGATGGTGCGCTCCAGGGTGAGGGGTTTGGTCTGCTGGATGTACTTGTTGCCGAACTGAGTGACCCCCCGGGGCCAGCCGGTCTGCGAGCGATTGGGCGGTACCACAGACATGCTGGCGAGCTCCGGCGCTGGCGGCGAGCAGAAAGTGGGAGGCAGGGGAGACTTTCCCGGTGCGGGATGCGGTTATCTGCAACCCCCTCAGCGGCTACCGCCCGCCATTAACAGGAGAGCGCAAGAGGAGGCGTAGGCACGCAGGAAGTGAACCCGGAGGCTCTGGCGGCAGGAAGTAGAGAGGAGGTGGCCTGCCAGACCGAGCGCCATTGGGCCAATAGCTGGTGGGATGGCTGCAATAGCTGGAGCTCCCATTGGTAAACCGGGTATAGGTTCCGCCTCCTCTTATTTTGGTGATTCCCATTGGCAACACAGTAAAGGGGGCATGCCGGGAATTGTAGTCCCCTCAGGAAAGTAGCGTCTTGATCAGTGTGGCGTGGTTCTGTACCTTGGGAGGAGATGAATGGGAAGCGGCCAGCGGACCCTGGCCCAGCCCGGGTGGGAAAAAAGGGAAAGAAGGAGGTGATGGCGGAGTTTTCGGACGCTGTTACGGAAGAAACCTTGAAAAAGCAGGTGGCTGAGGCCTGGAGCCGCAGAACGCCGTTCAGTCACGGTAACCGGGTGCTCTCAGGGAGGGGCCGCCACGCAGGGGTCTGGGGACCTCTGAAAAAGCCCTGGGACTCGCGCGCAGCCCTGGGCAGCGGGGCCGCCAGGGAAGAGGCTCTTGGAGGACTTTGACCACCTTGTATCCTCCTGCCTCGGCTGCTGCTCCCTTTCACTCCAAATTCGGTTTGAATTTAAAAATGTGAGAAAAGGGAGAAATGGAGGCCGGAGAGTTTTGGGAAGCAGAGGGTATGCAAGTGATAGTTGCATTCTGGAGTCACAGATTACTGAGTTAGAATCCTCTCCCCTGATTGCGCGTCGCCGGGCAATGGAATTAACCTTATTGAACTTCAGTTGCTTCCTAAGTAAAATGGGATAGTTCATAGTATTTATGTCAGAAAGTCGGTGAATGGGAGCAATACACTAATGCTTGCAAGCTTCAGTAAATGTTTCCCTGAGTAAGGCCCAATACACATCTGGACAAATACGGGAGTAGCTGATGTCATTTCTCCTGCAAGGGCGTTGCTCGGCTGTCCCAGGAGAGTCTAGACAGGGCATTTGTCGCGAGCTGCCAGCTCGGCTCCCTAGTGTACTCGTCTCTACGCGTCTGTAGTTTGACTCCATGTTGTATGAAAATAAACGCGCGTTGACCAAGGAAAGGAGCCTACGTTGAACGATTCCAGCCTCAGTTTTAAATATCACCTTATGTGTTCAGAGCTCTGCTTCATGCGCCAGGCATCCCCTTCTAGAGTTTGCCGTAATTTCTCTTTCGTTGTCAAGTGCTTTGAAGAGGTGAGTCCTGGGTAGGCTGGATGCCTATAGAAAGCGATGGCGTAGTGTTAAAGTGCAGGCTCTGTTCTCTCAGTTTCTACATCTGTAGGATGGAGAGAGTGATAATGTCTCCCTCAGAGCTGTTGAAAAGATTAAATGAGATAATGGGCCTGGGACATGGTAGGTGGTGCTGATGATTACAGGATGGGGATCTAGCCAGCTGGAAGCAGTGGGTAAATGTTGGGGTAGAAATCAAGGAATTAGAGGCGGTTATGCCTGAATTGACCTGAATTTTTTTTTTTTTTTTTTTAAGTACAGTAGGTAGTAAATGCCTCTGACAATAACTTAGGAAAAGAAAAAGCAGGGAAACTGTTGGCCAGTATTGCTACTCTCATTTAACGTGCTACCCAAAGTTTGAGGGAAATGAATTAAGAATCTAAAATACATTCAATTCAATATGTAATCATTGAAACACATTTTTAAAAAAGAGTAGGAACCTTGATTTAGTGACATCACCCATCACTCATCTCAAGGACTGTGTTGTAACCATAGTATATTTAAAAAGTAGTATTTCATGGGTAAAGAATAAAGATCAGAGCTTATGATATTTTCCCCAAATCTTAGACTTTAAGTATTAGGTTCCCCAAAATTCATGACCATCCCCTTTCGTATTAGCGGTGCTGTGTTACTTGGGGGTCAAAAATACAAAAGGAAAAAAGCCATAGATAATATTTTCCTTCCAACAGAAGTCATTGTCATGGACATGGACCCTTTTCTTCACTGCGTGATCCCAAACTTCATCCAAAGCCAAGACTTCTTGGAAGGGCTTCAGAAGGAACTGATGAACTTGGACTTCCATGAGAAGTATAACGATTTATATAAGTTCCAGCAGGTATTTATTCCCCTGCCACATTAACTCTTCCAGCTCAGAAATTCACTGTCTCTGAAATCATTCAATACCTTTAGCCTTGAGGTTTTAGGATGGGTTTGCCTTGAAGGGTCCTTGCATTGACATTGTTAAGAGCATGCCTTCATTTAACCAAGCTTACTGAATATTAACTATGTGTTAAGTGCTATAATTATTATATGGAAGCCTTAGACAGTGCCTGTCCTGTAAGACTTCAAAATCTAGTGTTTTAAGTGCAGGCTCTGTACTCTCAAAGACTTCTCAGTTTCCTCATCTGCAGCATGGGGAAAGTGATCATGTCTTCCCCAGGTACACAGATTTCTATGGGTCTCATGGCCTTGCCTCCTCTTGGATGTCTAGTAAGTGTCTGACTCTTAAGTCCAAAACTAAACTCCTGGTCTTCTCTAAGTTTGCTCCACCTGCAGTTTCCCCATCACAGTTAATAGCAACTTGATCTTTCCAGTTGCTCAGGCCAGAAGTGATAATAGGGGTGAAAGTGATGGTGATAGAGATAGTGAAGAAACAAATTAAGCCGATGAGTGAATATGTATAAACAAAGGGATTAAGTACATGTGGGTAAGTGGTATGATGATGATGAGAGTTGTACGTTGGGAGACAATTACCATTTAAGATTTTGAGTTCGGGCTGGGTGCAGTGGTACATGCCTGTAATCCCAGAACTTTTGGGAGGCCAAGGCGGGTAGATCACCTGAGGTCAGGAGTTCGAGACCAGGCTGGCCAACATGGTGAAACCTTGTCTCTACTAAAAATACAAAAATTTTCTGGGTGTGGTGGCACACACCTTTAATCCCAGCTACTTGGGAGGCTGAGGCAGGAGAATTGCTTGAACCTGGGAGGTGGAGGTTGTAGTGAGCCGAGATCACATCATTGCACTCCAGCCTAGGCAACAAGAGCAAAATTCCATCTTGAAATAAAATAAAGTTTTGAGTTCATGTTTTTGTTTCAGGTAACTTGCTATATTACAGTATGCTCTACATTGCAGTAGGGCAAAGAGTTAATATTCTTTTTTTTTTTTTTTTTTTTTTGGTGGACAGTTTAATTGGGCAGAAAAGACGATCTCTTTTTTGTTTTTTTTTTTAAGGTTCGTTTTTCTACTCTGGAAGATACAGCCTAGTCTAGGTATAGAAATACAGGTCATTGGTTTCCCCAGTTTGGGGGTATATCTTTCAGTGCATAGAGGATGTCACTCTTAGAAATCCTTTGTAAACCTCAGGGACATCTGTGCTTCAAGTTGGGAAAAAAAAGAAAAAAAAAAGACAAATGAAAAGGTGAAGTTTTTTTTTTTTTTTTTTTGCATTTTCCCATTTTATTTTATCTGGGATAAGAGAGTAAGTAACGAATTTCTCTCTCTTATTCTTCTACGCTAGAGCTGATTGGTCAGATGGATATATCCTGACCTTCCCCAGATCTTTCTGTCTTTGGGTCTTATACACATGACTGAATTAACCAGGATAAATACATGAAAGATATGACTCTTAATAATTCAGAAAGCTGAAAACTAAACTTTCCATGGTAAGGTTGCACAAAACCACAGTTGCCTGCTATCGTAATTATCACACACTTGGCCTCTTGTTGATTTAGGGCCATATGCATCTGATTACTAAAATTGAAACATCAAAATAGTTTTTACTTAATGCAATTTGGAAGATTAAAAATACTGGAAGAGGGCCCAGTGCAGTGACTCACGCCTGTAATCCCAGCACTTTGGGAGGCCGAGGCAGGTGGATCACCTGAGGTTGGGAGTTCGAGACCAGCCTGACCAACATGGAGAAACCCCATCTCTACTAAAAATACAAAAAATACAGGGCGTGGTGGCACGCACCTGTAATCCCAGCTACTCAGGGGGCTGAGGCAGGAGAATCGCTTGAACCCGGGCAGTGGAGGTTGCAGTGAGCTGAGATCGCGCCACTGCACTCCAGCCTGGGTGACAAAGTAAGACTCCACCTCCAAAAAAAAAAAAAAAAGAAACAAAAACTGGAAGATAAAAGGCAAAATAATAAAAAGAGCCTTGGGTGATTGAAAAAAAAAGGGAGCTGCCATTACTTTGGATCCACATGGAAGTTTGGTGAAACTACTGTGAATAATTTTTACTGTTAATCTCTGTTAGACAGGAACTCTTCACCCTGACAGTAGATGTAAAACCTGGTTTCATTCTCCTGCCCCTTTAATCCTCATCCATGCCCTTTTCTTTGCTTGTGGTATGAATTGACTTGATAATTGGGTCTCTGACATCTTCCAACTCCCACAACCAACTCTGTCATTAGGAGTTGCCCAATATTCTGTATTTTTTAAAGCAAGCATTATTGAGTGCATAATTTATGCCATGCTAAGTGCTTTATATTTATTCATTAAATCCTCAAAACAATCCCATTACTATACCTGTTTCACAGTTGAGGAAACTACATTAGTTTTTCTTTTTCTCTGGATCATTCCCTTCAACATAACAAAAAGAAAAAAAGCTGTTAGTTCTTATCATAAGAAAAAACAAAGTTCTTGACCTAATTTTCCCTTCTGCTACCACCCAATTGCTGTGCTTCTCTTGACAGCAGAATTTCTTATAAGAGTTGTCTGCACTGTGTCCAATTCCTCTCCTGTCAGTCTCTGGTAAGCCCATTTTAATCAGGCTTTTGCTTGTACTACTGCACTGAAACTACACTTGTCAAGGTCACCCATAACCTCCACGTTACTAAATCCGATAATCAGTTTTCAGTTCTTCCTTGGCTCATCAGCAGCATTTGACCTACTATATCACTGTTCTTCCTGGAGACATTTTTTTTTTTCACTTTACTTTCAAGTTACCATGCTCTCTTGGTTTCTCTTCTTCCTCAGTGGCCATTTCTTGTTAGCTTCCTTTGCTAGGTTTTCCTCTTCCACCTGACTTCTTAATGATAGAGTACTCTGCATCCTAATGCTTGGCCTCCTTCCCTAGGTACACAGATTTCTGTGGGTCTCATGGCTTTGCCTCCTCTTGGATATCTAATGAGTTTCTGACACTTAAGTTCAAAACTAAACTTCTGGTCTTCTCCCTCTAAATCTGCTCCACCTGCAGTTTTCCCCATCACAGTTAATAGCAGCTTGATCTTTCTGGGGGCTCAGGCCAAAAAGGAGGTCATGCTTGATTCCTCTCTCACCTTATATCCAGTCCATCATGAAACTCTGCTATCTCCACCTTCAAAATACAGGCAATGGCCACATGACATTTTCTGTCAACAACAGATACAATAGTGGTCCCATAAAGTAACACCTATTTTTACTGTACCTTTTCTATATTTAGATATGTTTAGATACACAAATACTTCCTATTGTATTGCCTGTGGTATTCAGTAGAGTAACATGCCAGGTTGTTTGTAGCCTGGAAACAATAGGCTATACCATATAGCCTAGGTGTATAGTAAGTTCTACCATCTAGATTTATGTAAATGCACTCTATGATGTTGGAACAACGGTGAAATCACCTCACAACAAATTTCTTAAGAGTGTAAATGACATGCCACTGTATATCCAGAGAAGCCCACTTCTTACTACTTTCACTGCCAAAGGCCAACACCAGGCTCAAGCTCTCTGTGTCTCCCAGGGATTATTCTATTAGTGTATCAACCATTTTCCCTTCTACTGTTGCCTGCTTAGACAGTCGCTGAAGTCATTGTATTTTTTTAAAATGTAAATGGACCCAAGATATTTAAAAATGTGTTCCCATAAAAACTTGTACACAAATGTTCATAGCAGCTTTATAATTGCCAAAAAGTGGAAACAATTTAAGTAATGAATAAACAAAATGTGGCATACCCATAGAATGGAATACAACTCAGCCATTAAAAAGAATGACGTACTGATACTACCACAACATGGATGAACCTTGAAAACATTAGGTTAAGTGAAAGAAGTCAGATGCAGAAGGCTATGTATTATATGATTCCATTTATGTGTAATGTCCAGAATAGGTAAGTGGTTGCCAGGAGCTGGGGGGAGGAGAGAAGAGGGAATGACTACCTAAATGGGCACAAGGGTTTCTTTTTGGAGTGCTAAAAAGTTCTGAAATTAGGAAGTGCTGATGATTGCCCAACATTGTGAATATACTAAAATCCAGTGAATTATACACTTTCAAGAAATTGAAATCATGTGGATAATTATGTGTTAGGCAGATATTATCTTTAAAATTGTTATTTCTCAAAAACTCCAATGACTCTGGTTTTGTTTGTTTGTTTGTTTGTTTGTTTTTTCTTTGCTTCAGGAATCATCAGGTGAAGCCTCTCATTTCTTTTCTTTTTTTTTGTTTTTGAGGTGGAGTCTCGCTTTGTCGCCCAGGCTGCAGTGCAGTGGCCGATCTCAGCGCACTGCAAGCTCCGCCTCCCGGGTTTACACCATTCTCCTGCCTCAGCCTCCCGAGTAGCTGGGACTTCAGGCGCCCGCCACCTCGCCCGGCTAGCTTTTTGTATTTTTTAGTAGAGACGGGGTTTCACCGTGTTAGCCAGGATGGTCTCGATCTCCTGACCTCGTGATCCGCCCGTCTCGGCCTCCCAAAGTGCTGAGATTACAGGCTTGAGCCACCGCGCCTGGCTGCCTCTCATTTCTTTAAGTCAAAGCCAAAGTACTTAAAATGGCTTTAAGTCCCTTATTACTCTTTTTTTTTTTTTTGGACGGAGTTTTGCTCTTGTTGCCCAGGCTGGAGTGCAATGGCGAGATCTCGGCTCACTGCAACTTCCGCCTCCAGGTTAAAATGATTCTCCTGCCTCAGCCTCCCGAGTAGCTGGGATTACAGGCATGCGCCACTACGCCCAGCTAATTTTTGTATTTTTAGTAGGGACGGGGTTTCACCCTGTTGGTCGGGCTGGTCTCAAAGTCCTGACCCACCCACCTTGGCCTCCCAAAGTTCTGGGATTACAGGCGTGAGCCACGGCACCCAGCCCCACTATTGCCTTTTTGGCCTCATCTACTACTGCCCTCCCTCTCCCTCTCTGCTCTTGCAATAGCTTGAATAGGCCAGGCATGCTTCATGCTCAGGGCCTTGAATGCTTTGTGCCTTGATATTCCCTTGCCACACTTTCCAGCCTCCTTCAAATCTTTGTTTCACCTCCCTGAAGTCTACCTTGGCCAACCTATTTATAATTGCAAACCACTCTCCAGGCTGAGCACTCCCCATTCTTCTTTCCCTGGGTTTCTTTTTTTCCCTTATGCACTTCTCACCATCTTTATACTAATCTGCTTTTTGTGTCTGTTGTCTATCTCCCTCAACAGGTGTAGAAAGTAGACTATAAAAACTTAAGTATTTGTTTAATGAATAAACCCAGAGGGTAATAACTTGGCAAGTCCCAGACCCATCCAATGGAGGGGCCCTGTATTAAACCTAAGCAGCCTGGCTTCAGAGTCGGGGCTCTTAATGACAATGCTAGGACCAGAACACTCACTAAACAGCTCTCCTTTGTGTGTCTCTTATGTGAAGGAAATCCCTTTTTTTCTCTCTTTTCATGATCAAGTCTGATGATTTGAAGAAGAGAAGAGAGCCTCACATCTCTGCTTTAAGGTAAACAGTCATATTTGTTGGGTACTAAATATGTGCCAGGCAGAGTAGTAAGTGCTTTAAATGTTACAATATTGTGTATGTCATATAATTCTTGTTGACATTGTTAACCCACTTTGTAGAGGAGGAAGGAGACCAAGAAATTGAGTTTACATAGCTTAAAATTAAGGGAGCTAGCATACAAACCTAAGTCCGTCTGATTCCAAGACCCAAGTTCTGAGTGATAAAATGCTCAATCTTGTTAGTAATCAAGGAAACAGAAGTTAACACTGGAGATACCATTTTTCACACGTTAGGTTGGTAAGTATTAAAAATAAAAACTCTAGTGTTGACAGATATAGATAGATACCTTTATACACTGCTGCAGTCTTTCTTAGAAGATGGTTTTATTATTTTTTTTATTTTTTTTTTTTGAGACGGAGTCTCGCTCTGTCGCCCAGGCGAATTGCTTGAACCCAGGAGCGGAGGCTTGGGTGAGCCCAAGACTCGCAGCGCATTGGCACTCCAGCCTGGGCAACAACAGCCGAGACTCCATCTCAAAAAAA